GGAGGCAGTTGAACAGTCTCGGGCCCCTGACACTTATTGTATGGTCTCTTAACGTGCTAGTGACACCCCTGCTTTTCATTGGGGGGATGGTGCATCGTCTGCCAAGTCTTTTGCTTTCGTAGTGGGTGATTTTCGTGTGCAAGTTCGGTACTAGTCCCTCTAGGATGGAGAGGATGGGATAGGAAAGGGGGGATTGAGGGGTAATTAGGTTCAGTCTGAGGAAGATCAAAAGGTTCAATTCCTCAGAACAATAGCCTCTACCATGACAAGGAGGCCTTCTTAATTATAGAGAGGCATTAATCAAATAATTAAAAGATGCACATAATGGGCCCATGGCCTGGGCCCAATTTTCTGCTAGCAAAGTTTGTTACAACAAGTGGGATGGTGGTATTATTACCCAAATTGTGTTAAGGTTGGTCAGGTATTATGCTTGGTCCAGAATGTTATGAAGGGGTGGAGGGGTTAAAGGGTTTAAAGGGGTATTAGGGGTTTGGTCGGGTTTTTAAATGGTAAAATGGGATTACATTGTAAGGGGGCCCATGGTATTATAGCGGGGTTTGGGATGGTTTTTTATGGCGGGTGGGGGAGGGTTTTAAAGGCCCGGTGGGGGGTTTGTTATAGCAGGTAGGACAGTGTTATGGCAGGGGGGATGGTTTTTATGGCAGGTAAATGATGTTATGGGGTGGGTTTGGTTTTTATACCCAGGGGGGACAGTTTTTATGGCAGGTGGGGTTTGGTTTGTTATGACCGGTGGGGTATTATGAAGTGTGGTTAACCCTTTCAGGGCCCCGCCCCGTAGATCTACGGCGGTCGGTGAGGGTCCAAACCGTATCTACCCCAAAAATTTCTAGCGCGTTCAAAATTTAGCGCAAAAGGGCCTCATAGGCCCTACAAAATGAGAGAAGGGGTTTCTGCGCCGGGGTGTGCGCCTAAAACAAAAAATCTGGGCGCCTCCCTAGATTGTGGGGAAGGGCCCGGCTCAGTCCCCCCTTTTTTAAACCATGCCTCGTCGCAAGCAGCTCCACCCCCCAAAAAAATTGGGGACTCTCCTTTTCCCTGTTATAGTTTTTGACCCCTGTGGGAAGGGGGAAAATGAAGACAAAATTCTAGGGCTTTGAAAAAAGTTTAGGGGCCAAAAAATAAGACCAGGTATCGAAAATTTAGTGCAGAAAACCCCGACGTCCTCGACCTTCTACCTTTCCGGTGTGGGCACTGTGACTCCCGTCGGGGGGTTCCAAAACGAAAAGGAAAACTAATTTTTCCCCCGGGGGCCTGGCCTCTGACTTCAGTAATGACGTGTTTCCTGACTGGATTGTAAATTTATTGGGGCCCCAAACCGTTTCATTCGAGTGGGATAGTGAGGAAAACATATTCACCATTTGAAGGGGTGGGGAAATTTTCCCGCCCCCCGCATGCGCTGGGGGGGTTTTCCCCTATGCTGTCCCGGGGGGAGGGAAAGTACACCCCGGTTTTGGCCCGGGGGAAACGGAGAAAACCCCCGGAAATACATCCCGTGGGCCCACACCCGTTTTAGGTAGGGGATGTGAGGGGGGAGGGGGCAACCCTTGGCAGGGAAAGGGCCCAGAATCAGTGGAGGGTGTTATTTGGGGCTGGTGGTGTATGGAAAACCCGCCATGCGTGATTTGCTGTGCCACCGGGAAAACCCACGCTGCGGGCCCGTCAGTTAAAGACAAAGCGGGGTCACCCCCCAAAAGCCGCCAAAAAACCCCCCGGGTTAAAACCCAAAAACCCCCTATATGTCCAGATCCACAGCCAAAACGGGCCCCTGGGGGTTTTTGCGGGGGCAAAAAAATCCCAATTTTTTCCCGGGGGGGCCCCCCTCCCCCAAACCCTTTGGCCCTCGAAAAGTGGAATTTACCTACCTGCCCTTTGGGAACCACGGCCAATGAACGGGAAAATTTTTTTGGAATTTTATTTTTTGCCCACCCATTAAAGGAAAAATTATTGTCAGGGAAATTTAAAAAAGTATTTTCATAAAACCATGGCAAATGGGATCTTATCCCCAAAACAGTAAAGATTACAAGGGGGGAAAAAGAGACGCCTGTTGAAAGAAATGTATTTGTTTTTTGGCCCCAAAAAATGCTTATGCCCTCACTTTCTATAAGCATAATATAAAAGCTACTGGCCCACAGATCGGCAATTTTTTTCCCCCACCCTTCATTTGAAAAAAAATCCAGTGAACAGGTTTATCTTACTTTTACTTTAGTTGCACTTCTCTCAACAAACCAGGCCTAAACAAAAGGGGCAGGTTATAAAAGATTAGAAATGTTTTCATTTTATCTCAAACAAAAATTCAGGATAAAATTTTTTACCATTCAAGAATCTTGAAAATTGCGAGTTTTTGATTTTGTTCAAAGGAAGACTGCCCTTCAAGCATTATATCCCGAGCAAGAGGAACCCCTTTTTGGGTAAAAAAATTTGTTTGTACTCGGTGATTGTGACAGCCCCCCTGGGGGGTTGGATAGGGGTTGTAAAACACGGTAGAAAACATTGAAAAGATACCAAGTGTTTTTGGGTTAATATAGGTGACGAGTGAAAACATGATGGCCCCTTTTCTTGGAAAGGGCCATACATTATATACCGAAAAACTGGTACACAAGCCCACTACTCAGTGATTTCATGCGAGGGGAAAAAGGGACGATGGGTGGGGCCCCCCCGTGCTTTTCTAATGTAAAAATGCCCCGGCTAAACCCCGGTGTTCGTGGGGGAAGCCGGGGCAGGTGTTTATTGCCAATGACTTTCTTGGCTTTAAACGGTTTGGAGCCCAAACGAGATTCCTTGTTGACAACCATTCACCGTAATGAAATGCAAGGGGGAAGGGGCCCAAAGGTTGATCAAAGGTGACTAATGAACGTATTCGAAAACCAGTGACAGTGATTGATTATACACAAAACATGCGCTTGGTTGCAAGTGGACATGCAGATTGGGGTTTTTACTGTTTTTCGTAAAAAGTTCCCAAATGGTAAGAAACTTTTTTTTCCATCTCATGGACATTCCAAAGCCCGAATTCATAAAATATGGGGACCAAAAAAAGACTGGTAAAAGACCACCGTTTTGGTGAATTTTGTTTTTTTGTTGTTTGACAAAATCATTTAATTTAAGTACCAGGGAACAAAAACCTGCAATACAACATGGCCTCGAATTCATCACAATTCCCCCAAACGTTTTTAGAAAAGAAGGTGATCTTTCATAATACAGTTCCCTTTAACTCAAAAGAAATTTTTTCTCAGAAGAGATGCATTGTTCCCGTGGCCCCAAAAAAAAAACGGGCGGCAACCCAAAAAAAGCAAAGACACCGGTTTATGTGTGAGGGAAGGGAAGGTTGGGCCCCTTTGGGATGGGGGCCTTTTTCAAAAGGGGTTCCCCAAGTCCAGCAGTTTCTAAAACCATGCCAGTGATTGTAAATATGTAAATATAGATAGAAAAATTAGTATTAAACAATATTTTTTGCCCTGTTTATTGTAATAAACCCAAAAGTGGTAAAAAATAATATGATAATAAAATTTTTTGTGCGGTTTTTGGGTTCAATACAGTGAGTATAATAAAAATATCAATTATATACAGTATTGGGCTCTCAGGGCCCCCAAAAGTTATTTGGAATAGAAAAAAAATTGGAAAAGGGGAAAAAAAAAAACAACTAAAAAAACAAAAAAAATATAATACGGGGTATTGGAATTCGTCGATGGTTTCCCCCCCCCACATCATTTTTTACAAACTTTTTTTTGGGCACTGTATCTCGGTAAGTACTGATCAGATTCTATTTTTTTTTGTTTTATTACCTTCACAAAAATATGCTCTTTAATTCTGTAAGAAAAAATAATTTTTTTTTTTCAAAATTTCTTGGACACTGGTGCGTGACTTCAGATTTTGGCCTTGGACCCTGAAAGGGTTAACCCTTTGAGGGTTTTCGTCGTACTAGTACGTCTTACGTGTAGGGGTTTTTGACGTACTAGTACTCATAAATTCTAGCGGCCTCAAATCTAGTGGGAGAAAGCTGGTAGGCCTTCATATGAAAGAATGGGTCTATGTGGTCAGTGTGCACAGTCTAAAAAAAATCCTGCAGCACACAGCGCATAATGAGAAAAAAAAAACTTTGACCATTTTTTGTTAATAAATCAGCGACTTTGCAGTGTATTTTCGTATGGTATTTATTGTTGTATTCTAGTTTTCTTGGTCTCATTTTATAGAATGGAAGACATATTACAGAAATTGAGATGATTTTGACTGGTTTTACAAAGAAAGGTGCCTTGAAATTGAGCTCAAAGTAGCAGAAATGTTCGATTTTTACCAAACTTCAAAAATAAACAAATCGTGCCAAGCGTGCAATACACGTCAACTGGTGAGTCTAATATTCTTTCGCAAGTGCACCAATATTATTTATACCATTTTTTACACTAATGCAGTAGTCTGCATAACAGTAAATCTTATATTTTTTGTGAAAATAAAAATTCAAAGTGGAAAGCAAAAGAATATAAGAGGGGCTTGAGACATGACTAATGACTAGAGGAAATGTCATTTTAGTGCCAGGAATGTCTTTCTTGTTTATTCTGGACCCTATTCGGAAATTGGCATCTTTTGAAATTTGTGTGAAATTGGCAAAATTGCTAAATTCTGACCACTGTACTGGATAGTTGAATTTCATAAATGAGTGGTTTCTTGCACCCATTCGATAGAAAAATGGAGTTCTAGCGATATATTCATGTTTTTTGTCGACTAGTACAGTGAAATTGGCCAAAATGGGGCTCAAAGTGGGCAAAATCGACGATGCGTAAACATCGCCGAGACTGCTAACTTTGCGAGAGCATAATTCCGTAAGTTTTCTATCAAATTTCAAACTTTTGGTGTCTTTATGATCGGGAAAAGATTCTCTATCTTTTCATAAGAGAAAATAATTTTTTTTTTTTTTTAAATTTGGCCGACCCTGAGAACGAGTTTCGGAGAGGGCCTGTCGACCCTCAAAGGGTTAAAAAACACAAGAAATAAGACAACAGTTTATTCTAGAAATTAGAGAAATAAAGTGCCTTTAAGAGTGAACAATGAGTCTACTCAAAGCTTCTCCAACACTTCATATTTGTATCTGATGTCACCTTCTTGCTGAATCTCAGATGGAACTTCAGAATCCCTACAATAAAAAATAATATTAAGTCTGAGTTCTTGGCAAAAGAACTGACTATACTTATATTTACAGTTATATATATCCACAGGACTGAATTAAATTATTTACTGACAAGTCAGTACTTGAGTGTTGTATAATCAATGATTGTAAACTAATACTATAATGACAACTGAGCAGCAAATTGCACAAAATTTGCATTAAAAATTATACAGTACAGTATATACATTATATTGTAATCATGAATGGCACTAAAAATTACTCAAAATCCTGAGTTTTTCTATAATCTGTGGAGATATATTATTTATAACTAAACTATACTCCAGGTGAGAATTTAAATATTTAGGTAATGCAATGTCTTTGTAATTATATACTGCATTCAATGAAACTGATACTCATAATGGTGCTATGATGATATTAGATGAAAAGTGGAATTGGTGATAAACTAATAACTTTTTAAAAATTTAAATTATTACTGTAAGTAAAATAGGGTTACGCATTTATCAAGAAGGTTTTCTGTCTTAGATATGTGATTAAATCACTGACAGGAAGCAGTGGTTTTAAAACTATTCAAATCTCACTTACTGAAATGAACCAGTATAGTGGTACTGCAGAGAATTTATCTCCAACTGATAAGCCTTAGACTTGATTTCTGGGTAGGAAGAGATAAACAGAAAAAGAACAAAAGGCACAACAGTGATTGGAACAATACATAAATAACCCTCACACAAGAGACAAACAAATGATGATGTTTTGGTCTGACTTAGACCATTAACAAGTCAAACAAGCGCAAAGGGAAGGGAACCGGAATATATACAAGAGGGGCAGGGATGAGAGGGTTTCCAACGTACTAGTACAGCTTACGCACCAGGGTTGTTGACGTACTTGTATGCCTAAATTCTAGCGCCTTCAAATCTAGCGAGAGAAAGCTGGTAGGCCTACATATGAAAGAATGGGTCTATGTGGTCAGTGTGCGCAGTATAAAAAAAATCCTGCAACACACAGTGCGTAATAAGAGAAAAAAAAAAACTTGGATCGTGTTTTTGGTTTAAAACAGCGACTTTTCACTGTATTTTCATATGCTATTTATGGTTGTATTCTAGTTTTCCTGGTCTCATTTTATAGAATGGAAGACATGTTACAGAAATTGAGATGATTTTGATTGGTTTCACAATGAAAAGTACTTTGAAATTGAGCTCAAATTAGCAGAAATGTTCAATTTTTGCCAAAGTTCAAAGGTAAACAAATCATGCCATGCGTCCAATACGCATCAACTGGCGAGTCTAATATTCTTTCACAAGTGCGCTGATATTATTTATACCATTTCTACACTAATGCAGTAGTCTGTGTAACAGTAAATCTTCTATTTTTTGTGAGAATAAAAATTCAAAGTGGAAAGCCAAAGAAATGTAAGAGGGGCCTGAGGATGTGACTAAAGAACAGAGGAAATATTATTTTAGTGCCAGGAATGCCTGTCTTGTTTATTCTGGACCCTATTTGGAAACTGGCATCTTTTGAAATTTGTGTGAAATTGGCAAAATTGCTAATTTCTGACCACTTTACTGGATAGTTGAAATCGATAAATGGGTGGTTTCTTGTACTCATTCAATAGAAAAAATGGAGTTCAAGCAAAATGGTCATGATTTTTGTCGACTAGTACACTGGAATTGGCCAAAAATAGGGCTCAAAGTCAGCAAAATGGCCAAAGCATAAACATCGTTGAGACCGCTAACCTCGCGAGAGCATAATTCCGTAAGTTTTCCATCAAATTTCATACTTTTGGTGTCATTATGATCGGGAAAAGATTCTCTATCTTTTCATAAGAAAAAATTATTTTCTTTTTCCAAAAAATTTTCGACCCTGAGAACAAGTTTAGGAGAGGGCCTCTCGACCTTGAAAGGGTTAAAGTGATAGTAGTAATAGTAGAAAAAGTAGTGCAACAGTGGTAGAAGTGGCAATAAGGTAGCAGTGGTAGTGAAAAAAGGGCCAGAGGGTGGATACTTTAAAAAATAGTAGTAGTAGTTGTAGAAGCAATAGAGGAGGTAGTCTAAGAATGAGATAAGAGCTAATGGCCCAAAAGGGTAGGATGAAATCCCAGTGAGACAAAACCCCATAGGATAGAACCCACCTAGGCAGAAGACAGTAAAGGCAATAAAAATATAAGCAATGAGAAGAGGTAAGAAGAGGAGATAAAGATTAGGTCAAGTCATGAGTGTTCTGAAGTAATAATCTAGTTGGTATCTCTCCTGCCACTGATGCTTCTAGAGTCTACTATTTCTTACTCTCTTGTTCTCTCCAATACTTTGGAGAAGTTGGCCACTGCTTCTGTCTATCACGTTAGAGATCACGGTTTGTTGAAAAAAAATCTGACTGAAAAAATATAAATATTACTTACCCTACTAGTCTGAATTTACTGGAGTCAAATGATGGAAAGAATGTATCACATTCAAAATCCTTTAATATTCGAGTTAGATAGATGCGGTGAAGTTGTTCACATTCTAAAGCCATCTGGAAAAAATAAACAATATATAACAAAGTTTAGAATAGCTGAAACACTGCAACAATGCATTTCTTCTATAACTTGTAAGCCATGGTAAATTGATCATAAGCTAAAAGTTTTTTTTATACAAGTTTAAGGAAGTGACTCTTCCTATTGTATCTAATACTGTCATTATTTTTAAAATTTGTCAACTGATTTTGTTAAAACTCTAATGGTTTACCAAGGAAGAGTGAGTGATCAGGCCTTTAAAAGTGTATTTACAATAAGAGCACAGTATGTAATACCTTAATCTGGTGTAAGAACTCGTATATAGATATGACATGAACATACAAATTATACAAAGCAAACCTTAATACCATGGACATTCATAATTCATGTGGTTTACATTCCTGAAAACTGCACTATCAGTGATTTCCACAACTTATGGACTGAAAAACATATAGGAAAATAAGGCTGTTTCTCAGGCCTTCAAAAAACCCAAACAGATTTTTATATAACAGTTTCATAATTCTTCAAACCAAATCAAATCAAACTATTTCCACAATACATCTGCACAAAACTGAATGATATTACATTAACACAGAAAACCCTCTAGTTATTTATAGCATTTTGGGCAAGTTTAACCCGTAAACAGTCCAAACATATATATACGTTTTTTCAACATTTGAAAGTACAGTGGACCCCCGCATAACGATTACCTCCGAATGCGACCAATTATGTAAGTGTATTTATGTAAGTGCATTTGTACGTGTATGTTTGGGGGTCTGAAATGGACTAATCTACTTCACAATATTTCTTATGGGAACAAATTCGGTCAGTACTGGCACCTGAACATACTTCTGGAGTGAAAAAATATCGTTAACCGGGGGTCCATTGTATGTAAAAAAAAGTAGATCTTTTTGTTTTTTTACATTTGAAAATGTGTAAAAAAAACGTAGATCTACTTTTGTAGCACTACACATGTGAACGTAGATCTGCTTGGACCGTTTACGGGTTAAACCTAACTTACATCTAGAAGGACTTTGGTATTTTAAAAATTTGTATATAAGACATTAATGATATCACCAGTAAAAAAAGATTCAATGAATATTAATCAAATGTATATGTAGCAGATAAAATCAAAACAAGGTACACATGAAAAAGAACATGTAGATTCAACTACAGAGGAGGGCCCCATGTACAGCCTCTCCACACTTAGCAACATACTCGTCTACTGACCGCTTGGTCAGTAGATTTTAATCTGTTCCAGAGAGCTCGTCCTTAACCGATTTTATCGTTACCTGATTTAATTTTACCCATAAGAAATAATGGAAATCCAATTAATCCATTCCTGCTGTCAGGAGGCTTGACAGAATAATACTTCAATATGATGCTATTATCAACTCTACAACTTATTTATCTATCACAATTCATCTAATTTTTTTTTATTATTAACACACTGGCCGATTCTCACCAAGGCAGGGTGGCCCGAAAAAGAAAAACTTTCACCATCATTCACTCCATCACTGTCTTGCCAGAAGGGTGCTTTACACTACAGTTTTTAAACTGCAACATTAACACCCCTCCTTCACATAGCTGCTGCTGCTGATACTACATAAGAACAAACCAGGAGGAGGAACACTGAAACAGGCCTTCTCAAATCCAACTCACTAACAAAAATATTTGCCCAACCCAATTTAATGCTACCCAAGCAAGTCTACTACTGCTACTACTACTACTACTACTTTGTGCCTTACACCTCACTAAGCCTATATATACCCTGTGTCCATGTATTGTTTGCAACAGCTTGACAAAGCTCCTTGAAATGAAACATTGCCACAATAAAATATCACATTGGTTCCATTTGTGTCCTTTTATCTTTATGGATTGTGACAGGAATGACAATGTTTATTTCCTTGTAAAGCTTACAATGTGTGGTTTACACGTTATAAAGTATTAATTACAAAGAAGGCCACTACCATGCCTAGGCATTTTGGGCAGACAAATACTAATTCTAGACAGCAACCACCCAGGGAGGTACTACCGTCCTGCCAAGTGAGTGTAAAACGAAAGCCTGTAATTGTTTTACATGATGGTAGGATTGCTGGTGTCCATTTTTCTGTCTCATAAACATGCAAGGTTTCAGGTACGTCTTGCTACTTCTGCTTACACTTAGGTCACACTACACATACATGTACAAGCATACATGTATATACACACCCCTCTGGGTTTTCTTCCATTTTTCTTACTAGTTCTTGTTCTTGTTTATTTCCTCTTACCTCCATGGGGAAGTGGAACAGAATTCTTCCTCCGTAAGCCATGCGTGTTGTAAGAGGGGAAACTTTCGTTTTTCCTTTTGGGCCATCCCACCTTGGTGGGATACGGCCGGTGTGTTGAAAGAAAGAAGAAATACTAATTCTAACTCTACATTGATATAGGCTATGAAGTGGTACATTTGAACATATATTATTAGATACATACATTATTAGATACATACATAATTAGATTTATGATAGTGAGGTAGTATAAATGTATAAAAATATTACAAATGGTAAATTTAGTTTTGGGATTGGATTGTCTTGGCATGATACACTGTTTCTATTAAAGCTCCTATATTGGAAGAGTATATTAGGCAAACTTAGGACTAACTTAAGATATAGGAATTTTATGTTTACAGTCATTTGGGTGAGTGTATGTGAAAATTAGAGGGAATTACAGAAAATGTGTTCATGATACAAAAAATGAGAATTGCGTGGTTTTCATTTGGTTAACCGATGATGGGGTGTGTTAGGGAGATAAAATGTTTTTTAATGGTAGTTTTGAAAATGGAGGTTGAGTCTGTGGTAAGAAAGGAAAGATTGTAAGCTTGTCCAGCATTTTGCACTGTGACGATAAATATACCAATCTTAAGAACATGAAACAAAATATTTTGTCCAACATGGCAAAGAAGTGTCTTGCTAATACTATGACCTGAAAGCTAGTCAGTGGGAGACATTTAGTCCATTGGATACCTTGAAATGCAGAGTGCAAAGACAGTAAGTGTCATGCATGTCATTTCTGGGATAACCTAGACAGTGTCGTCCATTATTCGTTGTGGTCGTTTAGTTGGGGGACCAGAGGAGGTCCGTCCAGAGATGTGTGGGCAATCCAAAAATCTTTGAATTACAGAGGGAGAAGCCAGAAACATGGTCAAGGATGATCGAAGATTGGAAATATCAGACAGGTCAGTCAGAACCTCCGTACCAGAGGTGGGCAACAAATTGTTACCTGAAGAAGGTACCAAGGTTTTAGAGAGGTCCGAAGAATGGTCTAATAATGTGGCAGGGTCTTGAAATGGCATTGCAGGAGGAAGGGGTCTGCAAGGAGGAACTCCATGGGCAAGGAACTCCATGGGCAAGGAACTCCATGGGCATGGGTCTCCATGGTAAGGGTTCATTTTTTTTAATCAAACAAAAAAAAGGGGGAGTACAAAGAGGGACAGCTCCCAGGAGGAATGAAAGGGATCAAATGTTTCCCAAGAGGGCCCTCAGTGTGGCTGGCAATGTAGATGCAGTGTGGAACCCATGCCTTACCCTACCCTTCACACCAGTAAACCTGCAATCCAGGATAGAAACCTCATATCCACTGAGCCACCTCGGCGGACAAGAGAGAGGGTGGCTGGAAGCCTGCCACAAGGCATACCTCCTTCAGCCACCAACTCCAGGAATAGACAGGCTCCCTCCAGAGATACACCTGTCATCCAAAGAACACAGAAAGCCACCCTCTGAGACTGGAGAGGGGACTGGAACATCCCTAGATGATCCAGATTACACGGCAAACCCCACCACCACCAAGGAACTCAATAGAATGGGATGGACAACAACTCCCTTCCCTCAACCTAGGAGCTAGAATTTCAGAGGGAAGCACCCCAGAGACCAAAAGTAGGAAAGAGAGGAGAGGAGAGAGGGATGGAGAAAGGAGGTGGGATGGGAAACAAGGGATGGAAAGGGTGGGGCAGGAAACGAGGTAATTAGGTTTGGTCAGAGGAAGAAGACTGAAAGGTTTGATTCCTTAGACCAAAAGCCTCTTTGCCATGGCAAGGAGTCCCTCTTGAAGAGGAGAGCAGGGTTCAAGATTTGTCTGACAATATATTGCTGTCAAAATTACATTCTGGTAAGCAGTGGCTTTTTAGCAGTAGCTTTGAAGAGGCTGGTAGATAGGGAACCTTTGATTGTTATTCTTGTAGAAAAAATAATCTACTGGACCCAAGTAGATGACTTGATGATGCCAGATTGGTTGGGTAATAATAGGGCTTGAAGCTTACTTGATCATGTCACCTGTTCACCATCAGTCAAAAATATCAGCATTTTAATTCCTAAAAACAGAGATAAAGGTAAACTCTCATCATATATTCACCAAGAGCTACACACCTCTCTAGATCTATATCCTGTTGGTGATGCTAGATACATCTCTCATGCATTTACGTTCAGTTTACACTCACTAATCCTTTATTTTCCAGATTTTCTTTTTGATACTTCTTTTTCCAGTAGTATTCCCTTTCCAACTGAAGAAGCTTGGTCTGAGAACAGGCTGCAGGGGCAATGATCCCCAGAACCTTTAATAGATGGAAAAAAAAAAAAAAAAAAAAAAAAAGTTACCTTATATACTGAGAAGCCACCAATAGCCCAGACAGTTTCCGCCTGCAGACTATGAACCTCTCTCAATGCATCTTCAAAACTGCTACAAACAGTACTTCCATCAAAATGGCCTAGGTTACTTCTGCAAATAAATGTTACTCATATATTTAACATGCTAGTTCAAATAATTTTATGCATTCACAAATATCAACAAATTTTGTTGAAAATAAGAAAAAGCTTTGGAGTGAGATTAATAAGTTGAGGAAGCCTAGGGAACGAGTGGATCTGATAGCTAAAAAAGTAGGAAAGAAGTTACTAAATGGAGAGTTAGGGTATTGGGAAGATAGAGGGAATATTTTGAGGAATTGTTAAATGTCGATGAAGATAGGAAAGTTGTGATTTCATGTATAGGGCAAGGAGGAATAACATCTTATAGGAGTGGGGAAGAGCCAGTTGTGAGTGTGGGGGAAGTTCGTGAGGAAGTGGGTACAATGAAAGGGGGTAAGGCAGCTGGTAATGATGGGATAAAGACAGAAATGCTAAATGCAGGTGGGGATATAGTTTTGGAGTGGTTGGTACTTTTATTTAATAAATGTATGGAAGAGGGTAAGGTACCTAGGGACTGACAGAGAGCATGCATAGTTCCTTTGTATAAAGGCAAAGGGGACAAAAGAGTGCAAAAACTTGTTGAGTATACCTGGTAAAGTGTATGGTAGAGTTATTATTGAAAAAAATTAAAGTAAGACGGAGAGTAGGATAGCAGATGAACAAGGAGGCTTTACAAAAGGTAGGGGGTGTGTAAACGAAGTGTTTACAGTGAAACATATAGGTGAACAGTATTTAGATAAGGGTAAAGAGGTTTTTGTAGCATTTGTGGATCTGGAAAAGGCATATGACAGGGTGGATAGGGGGGCAATGTGCAAGATGTTGCAAATGTATGGAACAGGAGGTAGGTTACTGAAAGCAGTGAAGAGTTTTTATGAAGATATTGAGGCTCGGGTTAGAGTATGTAGGAGAGAGGGAGATTATTTTCCAGTAAAAGTAGGCCTTAGACAAGGATGTGTGATGTCACCATGGTTGTTCAGTATATTTACAGATGTGGTTGTAAGAGAAGTGAATTCTCGGGTATTGGCATGAGGTGTGGGGGTTAAAAGATAAAGAATCTAACACAAAATGGGAGTTGTCTCAGTTGCTTTTTGCTGATAATACTATGCTTTAGGAAGATTCTGAAGAGAAGTTGCAGACATTGGTGGATGAGTTTGGTAGGGTATGTAAAAGAAGAAAATAAAAGTGAATATAGGAAAGAGTAAGGTGATGAGGATAACAAAATAATTAGGTGACAAAAGATTGGATATCAGATTGATAGAGAGAGGGTATGGAGGAGGTGAATGTATTCAGATATTTAGGAGTAGACAGCAGATGGCTCTACGAAAGGTGAAGTGAATCACAGAATTGACGATGGGAAAAAGATGAGTGGTGCACTTAGGAGTCTGTGGAGACAAAGAGCTTTGTCCAGGGAAGCAAAGAGAGGAACGTATGAGAGTATAGTTATACCAACACTCTTATATGGGTGTGAAGCATGGGTGGTGAATGTTGCAACAAGGAGAAGGCTGGAGGCAGTGGAGATGTAGTGTCTGAGGGCTGTGTGTGGTATGAATATAATGCAGAGAATCTGTAGTTTGGAAATTAGGAGGAGGGATTACCCAAAATATTATCCAGAGGGCTTAAGAGGGGTTATTGAGGTGGTTCGGACAATGAGAGAGGATGGAACGAAATAGAGTGACTTCAAGAGTGTATAAATCTGTAGTGGAGAAAAGATAGGGTAGGGGTCAGCCTAGGAAAGGTTGGAGGGAGGGGGTAAAGGAGGTTTTGTGTGCGAGGGGCTTGGACTTCCAGCAAGCATGTGTGAGCATGTTAGACAGGAGCAAATGGAGACAAATGGTTTTTGAGACTTGACATGCTGTTAGAATGTGAGCAAGGTAATATTTATGAAGGGATTCAGGGAAACTGGCAGGCCAGACACGAGTCCTGGAAATGGGAAGTACAGTGCCTGCACTCTGAAGGAGAGGTGTTAATGTTGCAGTCTTATAACTGTAGTGTGAACGTGCCTCTGGCAAGACAGTGATGGAGCGAATGATGATGAAAGTTTTCTTTTTCAGGCCACCCTACCTTGGGTGGGAAATGGATGATGTGTTAATAATAATAATAAAAAAAAGTAAATATATGAGCTTATGTAATAAATAACTCAGAATGTCGTCTCATGAAAAGAATGACACATAGATCACAACAAGTAAATAAAACAGAAAACTTATTGCTTGAGTGGACTGAACAAAAAACAAAGAAAGGTGGACCACTTTATTTCATCTTAATTAGTTGTTTAAAGCAGTGTGTGATAAGGAAGGAAGGCCTGAAGGATTGTGTTTAACACTGGCTGGTGCCACAACTTTAAGTTGTGTAATAGGTTATGTAATATTAAGTACACCTACCATCCGACTTACAACCTGCTCGACATACGACGACTCGACTTACAACCGTGTTTTTTATGCCAAATTTCTGGGAAATAAACAAGTGTTTGTGTTGTACACAGTGCTTATCCTAAACCTTACAGTATAAAATACAGTACTAACAGCATAAAAAGTAAAGTAAAACATGAAATACCAAAATAAAACAATAAAATAAAGTCATTACAAAAATGTTATGTTGATATTCAGTAATAAAGTTTGACTTACGTCCATTTTGACTTACGACCGGTTTCTCGGAACCAAACTTGGTCATAAGTCGGATGGTAGGTGTATTCTGGGGAGAGTGCTTCAGTTGATCATACAGCGGCAAATAATTTCCCTGCTGAATTGCAGGAAGTTATTTCTGAGGGTGGCTATAAACCACATCAAGTGTTTAATGCTGACAAGACAAGTGTTTTTTGGAAGAAAATGCCAACAAGAACTTATATCAGTCAGCAAGAGAAAAGTGCATGGGGCTTCAAGGCAGCAAAGGATCGCTTCACCTTGCTCCTTTGCGGTAATGTGTTAGGGGATTTCAAGTGTAAACCTATGATTATTTACTGCTCTAAGAATCTTCATGCTTTGAAAGTTGTAGGTAAGAGCACCTTACCAGTAATCTGGAGGTCAAACCAGTCAGCATGGATGACAGAGGAAATACTTATTGACTGGTTTAAGTATTATTTTATTCCTGAAGTCAAGTTTTACCTGCACAGCAAGAACCTTGCATTCAAGGCTCTCTTCATTCTTGATAATTCCTGTACTCATCCAGAAGCTTTGCTGGATGTGACCTCACATATAAAAGTTGTATTTTTACCTCCAAATACAACATCTTTAATACAACCACTGGATTGGGGAGTTATTAAGTCATTCAAATGTAACTACACAAAAAGTGATGAAAAAACTAGTTGCATCAATGGACTCTGACTCCAACTTAGCAGTACCAAGCTTCTGGAATAAATTTAACATTGCAGATGCCATCAGCTATGCTAGAATTGCATGGAATGAAGTGCCCAAATCAACATTAAATGCAGGCTGGGAAAAGTTATGGCCTTCTGTAGTTAATTCTTTCACTGGTTTTCACTTGCTTGAGTCAGGATAAGAAAATTGTTCAGCTGGCAAGATTACCAGGTGATGGTTTTGAAGATATGAATGAAGATGTGAATGAGCTCTTAGATGATGAAGACAGGAGTCCAGAGGAAATGTTGGCAGAGCTCAATGTACAGATACAAGGGAGCCAGATAAGATGATGATGATGAAGTCGAACCTCAAGAAAAACATTGCAGCAGTTACATGAGCAGTTCCATGTTGCTGCTAAATTAGCAGACTTCTTCACTGAAGAGGACCCTGACAAATCTAGAAGCAGCGCTTTGAAACGAGGTTTAGAGCAGCTGATGATGCCTTACCGTCAGTTGTATAATGTACTGCAGGGTAAAAAGAGCCCAGAGATCTATTACACAATTTATGCACACTCCAACACAACCATTGACTTTAGTACCAGAACCTCTACCATCCACTTCTGCCGACAACCAACAACCATCCACCTCAGCCCAGTAGGGCCACACCATGCATCTCCACTCTCTTGACAATCACTGACATACACCAGCAACCACAATTTAAGGTAAATATTATTTCTGGTGCATTTGTAGCTTTAAGCAACGAAAACAACATTATCATTTATATATATATATATACAAATACAAATATTTATTTCCTTGTAAAGCTTATAATGTGTGGTTTACAGTCTTTTTTTTTTAACAAGTTCGCCGTCTCCCACTGAGGCAGGGTGACCCAAAAAAGTAAGAAAAACCCCCAAAAGAAAAAACTTTCATCATCATTCAACACTTTCACCTCACTCATATATAATCACTGTTTTTGCAGAGGTGCTCAGAACACAACAGTTTAGAAGCATATACGTATAAAGATACACAACATACCCCGCCAAACTGCCAATATCCCAAACCCCTCCTTTAAAGTGCAGGCATTGTACTTCCCATTTCCAGTACTCAAGTCCAGCTATATAAAAATAACCAGTTTCCCTGAATTCCTTCACTAAATATTACTCTGCTCACACTCCAACAGCTTGTCATGTCCCAAATACCATTCGTCTCCATTCACTCCTATCTAACAAGCTCACACACGCTTGCTGGAAGTCCAAGCCCCTCGTCCACAAAACTTCCTTTACCCCCTCCTCCCTCCTTTTCGAGGACGACCCCTACCCCATCTTCCTTCCCCTACAGATTTACACACTCTCCATGTCATTCTACTTTGATCCATTCTCTCTAAATGACCAAACCACCTCAACAATCCCTCTTCAGCCCTGTGACTAATACTTTTATTAACTCCACAACTTCTCCTAATTTCCACACTCCGAATTCTCTGCATAATATTTACACCACACATTGCCCGTAGACAGGACATCTCCACTGCCTCCAACCGCCTCCTTGCTGCAGCACTTACAACCTGAGTTTCACACCCATATAAGTGTGTTGTACCACTATACTTTCATACAATCCCTTCTTTGCCTCCATAGATAATGTTTTTTGTCTCCACATATACCTCAAAGCACCACTCGCCTTTTTTCATTCGTCAATTCTGTGGTTAACCTCATCCTTCACATACCCATCCGCTGACACGTCAACCC